TCTACATGGCTCCAGAGAAAGAAGTCGCAAGGCATCAGATCGGGAGATCTCGCTGACCAATTTCCTATATAGTAGTAGGTAGATATATAATTTGATCAATAGTTTTCACAGCCCACAGATTTTGTGACCATACACTTTGGTTGTCCACTTGGCGAACCCAATGCAGATTTTCTGGTGCGAATAGTGCATATTGTTGTGATTTACGAGACCATTGCCCTTAAATGTTGCCTCGTCGCTGAGTAATGAGCAAGGGACGAAAACGTCGTGTCACTCTCAATTTTATGAGACGTCAACTTACACCATGTGACTCTATTGTTGGAATCATCTCCATGGAGGTCTTGGTGTAGCGTCAAATGGTACGGATGATATTTAGACGTTTGCATGATTCTGTTAGCAGTTCACTGGCTAACGTCTACCATCTCACTAAGTCCTTGGGCACAAATCTGTGGAATGTCACTAATATACAGCAAAACATTTGTTTTGCGATCTTCTGTAATTACATTGTTCTGGATAACTTTTTTTGCTTTAGCAACGCTTCCTGTAACTTCAAACCTTCCTTCCACGGCTTGAATGTGTCTCACTCATGGTTGTGGTCGATTTGTAAATGTTTAATAATACAACCTCTGAGCCACAGGGCAGTTTCTTTCTGCTTTGCCCAGCGACAGTGAGCACACGACGTTGCTAAAACTGCTTTTTATATGCCAGATTTTACTTCTGATCCGCGGGATCAAAATTCTTGATCCGGATCAAAATAGACCAATGAGAAGGCACCTTTGTGCTAACGGATCAAACGAATATAGCCGATTTCTCCTAAAATATCTAGCGAAAAAGTGTACGGTTTGTGTAAAAAAGGCCTCTATTAAATAAAATAGTTCTTCATAGATCATCTAGTGTTATGTCAAAGATGATTCTAAAATGTGGAGAGCAGCGGGACTGTAAGCGCGTTCAAATATAATTAAGGTAATAAGGTAATCGACACCCGAGCCATACAAATACAATGTAGGATTTGCACGTACCTGGGTGTTCCTGTCGCCTGGTCTGGAGAAGCTCGTATCTCTTCACAGCTTCTTCTTAGGTTCATTACACTTGCCTTAGCGGATATATTATATCCGGCTTAACTAGGATTCTTTTGTCGAGGTTTTGAAGACGACCGTTGCCTTTTCCGATCTCTACGAGGTTTTTACTTCACGAAATCTTCATCTTCTTGTGCGCATGTTTGGCTATTATGCGCACGTGCCAAAGGGTTTGAATTTGTATGGCTTTTGAGTTCAAATAATAAAGTATGTTTCAGAACTTGCATGAACATTTCCGCCCACTTAAAATGGAGTTTTATATAAAGTTTATTCAGTACAAGATAATGACAACAAAGTATCGAAAATATCGGACTTGAATTAGATGGACTATTGAATTGATTTGACTTTATACAAAGTAGAATATAAGAGATTTGAAAAAAAAAAACGAAGTATCGAAAATATATGATTTGAATTAAGTGAATGATTGGATATAAACATGTATACGAGTAGACTAAGAATAGCATTGAATTGAATAAATGAGTATTTGTAACTCAGTGGTTACAAAGAAACAAATCGAAAACACACACGACAGAATTAACGAAAATTATGTTATATGATTAAATATTATTTCACTATGGGTAAAGGACAAAGCTTCACCACCGGCCGTGTGAGCAGCCCATGCTGTGTTCTTAGTGTAACAACTCTGACATGATTGTCACGACCAGGATGAACTTCCACAACGCGTCCCAACAACCAACGCAGTGGAGGCGTTGACTCGTCTTTGATTGTTACTAAGGAACCTAACAATTTCCGTTGATGGGTCGTTCCACTTACAAAGTTGCTGGAGAGTGTTGAGATATTCGAGTTTCCAGCGTTTCCAGTGATCTGAAAGTAATCTCTGAATGAGTTGCCAACGACTAAGAGTGTTTTCTTTGAGGGAGGATAAATCAGGATGTGGGCATGAATTTAAAGATTCTGTGGTTAAGCTTGAAACAAGTTCGATATGAGTTGCCTTAACACAAGTACAAAGGTTTTTATTGGACCTGCATAGTCTACGCATACGTGGGAGAAACATTTTAATTGTGAGGTTCGAAAATATGGTAGATCCGACATGCAGGGGGTATACGTTTTGGGTTTTTGGCGAAAACATCGAATGCATTATGACAAGACCTTTTGGATAGATCTGCGCGAAGATAAAACCCAAAATGTCTGACGAATTAGGTATTGAATTGTGTTTAGTCATGGATGTAAATGTTCCCTATGTGTTGACTCGATGATAAAGGCTGTTAATTTATGATTTTTAGGCATAAATACAGGATGTTTTGTATCGAAGGAAAGCTCAGAATTCCTTAAACGTCCGCACACTCTAATTAAACCGGACTCGTCTAAAAAGAGCGACAGCTTCCGTAACGGCTTAGGCAATAATTTATTTGTTTTTGATTTTTAGAATTATATCTGAAAAGCAGTCTTTCTGGAATATTTTCACCAGAATTAATACTGCTCTGTGTAGTTCAAATTCTGAAAAGGGATCTGAAATGGAACTTATTGTATCGGTTTTGACACGAATTACCTGGATAAGACGACAAATAATTTTTTGAGTCGTATTTAAACTGGATAAGCCATTTACTAATCGATGAAAAAAGTCTTCTGTTTGAATTTCGGCTGTAAGAACCATTGTATTATTTGACTTTTTTGTCTTAACGACATCATCTAGTCTGACATCAGAACTTTAATCGATAAACCTTTTGATTTTCCATTTGATAGTAGGAAAAGTTATCCAAAACTTTCTAATGGTTGATTCAAGAGAATGTTCACAAGAAACGAAGTAAGAATTAACTGGAAGTTGAGTACCTAGATTTGTGGCACCTATAACTACCCAACCGAAGATAGCTTCAAAGGCCAAAGGTTGTCCTTGAGGTCCTGGGATTCTTTCTGGTTTGACGATTTCGGCAAAGAGTTCTGCACCTAATAAAAGGTCAATAGGACCAGGAATATGAAATTGATCATCTGCAAGCTTGAGATTTGAAATATAACTCCATGACGAAGAATCAACTGGAGCTTGAGGCATGGGAGAACTAAGTTTTGATAGAACCAAGACTTGAATTGTGAAAGTAGGTTGAGACTGATCTCTGGGTTTGATAGTGCAAGTACACATGCCTTTAGTAGCTGACGATGATTGATTTATTCCAAACACAGAGACTGTTGCCTTTTCCGATCTATACGAGATTTTTACTTCACGAAATCTTCTTCTTGTGCGAATGTTTTACTAGTATGCGCACGTGCCAAAGGGTTTGAATTTGCATGGCTTTTAAGTTCAAATAGTAAAGTATGTTTTAGAACTTGCATGAACACCTAGTTTGGATACGAAACATATTTTTTCCTGGATCAAGGAGATCAAAACCTATCATCCCGATCAACAAAGAGAGCGTTTTAGTAAGACTGGCCCAAAAATTAGCCAACTGGAAACAAGGATCACAAAGCCACCTTGTAGAATCGAAAACCAGCATAAACATCTGAGAAAATTGAAAAAGGGTATATCGGTTGTCATTTAGGTGTAGATTTCAACAAACTTCTTGACTATCTTCCATTGTCACAAGTGCCACGCCTTTTTTTTAGTTAATCAATAAAACACAATGATAAATGCTGCCTAACGGTTGATCCAAGCAAAACAGTTGTCTAGTGGCCTGCAAATTTAGGCTCTAGCTCAATAAAGCGGAGAGTAGGGGAGGGTTAAGAGCGCCAGTGACTTAGGACTGATTAAGCCACAACTCCCCGAGATGTTAGTCGGAACTTGTTCTGCTTGACCACCACACAAAAGGAGAATCTAACAGCGATGACGAAATTTAAGTAACAGTACACTCAGAGAGATCCAAATAAACAAGATATCAAATGGATCACAATATATTTATTAAAAAGAACAAAATGCACCACTGGAGTGCGAGAAAGGATATTACAAAAAAAACACTGTCGCAAAATAAAATTAGTTGGCGTTTACCATGGTATACGCTTTACATATATATTTTACGCCTAAACTACACTTATCTGGGCGGAAGTCTACTCCCAGTTACGGCTAGGCGCAGCCTAGATGTATCCCAGGTCAAAAAGAACAAAAAAGGGAAGCCAACAGCGGGCGTGTCACTGCTTGCCTCGGTCCCAAAAATTATGATGGTCACAAGAAAAAAAAGCCCTAGAGAGAGAGAGAAAGACTGTTTAAAAATCTACTCTACCCTCTGTCTGAGATAAAACTACTCATTGAAAACAATCGCACTTGAAGCGAAACCATGTACATTTTTCCATATAAGAAAAGTAAAGCAAAGGCAAAAAAAGATAAAAATGTACTAAACTAATATACCCTTGTTCTAAAAAGTTATGGCAGCTGGAAAATCAAAATCATGATCAATGTAATAGAAGGTGCCATGTAAGCATTGCCCCCATATTTGAATACGTAGAATGTCTAATAAAATCAAGAAGTCTCGAAGAATTTCAATAAGCAATAATCAATGTATAAGGATCTATGAAATTTTCAATTAAAATGATGTTTTACCTGTTCACGTCAGGCTTTTTTTTCAAGGGGATCGCTTCCAATTTGCAAAACTGCAACGATGCAACTGACTGGAGGAGAAAAGACGAGGATTTTCTTCTATTTTTATTGACAAAAAGAAAGCGGATATTGAATGAGCGTCATCTGGACACGCATTAAGGCACGCGGTCCGAAGGTATATAAAAAAAGAGCTTACCGCGGAGGATCAAAATCCCATAAAAAATGTAAGACGTAGCACCCAAGTAGTAGAGCTAAGGGCATTCCACAGCGGAAGTGAGATAAAACAGCCGATGGACGGTTGCAGGTTCGCGTTATCGGCGCGACGGCGATCGCATGCGGATGTGTGTCCGATAAGGTGAGGTGTAGTGTATACAGGGGATGTCAAGAAGGTTGTATACAGGGTGAGTCAAAAGGTTGGGAGCGTTAAAAAAGATGGCGGTGTGCCACACACACACACACACTCCTTGAGGAACTATTTAAGAGCTTGCAAACAAGCATTGTCGTTATTCGAATTCAATATACTCCAATGAGTAGTTCGCCGAACGTGTGAAATCCACCACCACCACCACCAGTGTATGTGCAGTGCAGTGAAAATAAATGTGAGTATTACCAATTTTTTTTTTAGTGCTGTGTTTCTCTACAGAGAGAGTTTCTCTTTGCAGAACATGGATTTGACAAAAATTAACGAAACATCAACACTTGCAGGCTTGAAGCCAGCAGTGAAGTTGCGGGAGCTACCTATCAACGTGCCTCATCTTATACTGGGTGCTAAGATAACAAAGGGGAAATTCGGGGAGTCAGTGCTGCTAGAGTTGGAGAAAAACGTAGTGTTTCTGCCAGGCCGGGTGACGGAAGCATTCAAGACCCAAATCGACAAATTTGAAGCAGCCAAGTACACCGTTACGTTTACTGGACTAGAAGAGGGAAATTTCCATCTAGCAACAAAATCTTTAATTAAGGAAGTTTAATTTGTGTATCATAAATGGAGTCGGTATCAAACGTATCTTTCAAAAAGCTTTCAAACAACTTCAAAATAACAGTAGTGATGACGATAAACGAAAATGGATTAAGAGTGCTAACAGCCAAATTAGGATTTTGAATAAATCCATTAGAAAAAAAGAATGGAATCATGGTATTTTGGTTAAGTTCCAGAGCGATCTTTGTTATTTTGAACATTTTAGAAATCATCTCAAAAGCTTGCTAGGGCCTCATTGTGGGCGAAGTATTTCTAAAAAACGTAGCGATAGACTAAAATGGGAGGATGTTCAGTCGGCATTTTCCAGTAGAGTTCGTACTGGAGTCATTAATTTGAAACACAAAGATGTAGTTCAGTTTTTAAATGATGCATTTTTTCTATTTAAATCTCGTATAACAAACATTTTGAAAACATGTCCGATGATCAAAGTAAACACGGTATTTTGCGGGGAATTTATTAAAAAAGCAGTAAATGAAGAAGAAGAAAGATCAGAATTGAAATATTTTAATACGAAAAATGAAATTATCGATTGCGGTCCTACCCTCACCGAATGGTTTGCTGAGTTCGGTATCGAAAATTTTTTTAATAAACTGCAGGAATTTAGTGGTAAAAAGATAGCGGTTTCGCGCTTAGTAAAATAATACATTTAGAAGTGAATATTAATCAATCTGGCTTTAGCAATAATGCTGGACCATCCTATATCAGACTTCCCCAACAGATTGCAATTAAAAATGCTTGCGTTAACGTAAAAAAATATGACGATAACGCATGCTTTCTTTGGGCAATAATATCCGCCTTATATCCGGTAGCCGTGAATGCAGGCAGAACCTCTTCTTATCCACATTACAGCTCGGGCATATTTAATTTAGATGGTATTGAAACACCTGTATCATTAGCTCACATTACAAGATTCGAAAAAAATAATGACATTTCAGTCAATATTTTCATCTTAGAATTAACAAGCAAAAATAACTATGTTACCTCACCAGCACGATTATGTAAAAATAAAAGGACAAAACATGTAAATCTACTACTGATTCAAAACATATATTATCCAAATAATTGTGAAAATATACCCAACGATACTCCTATTACATATCATTATTGTTGGATGAAAAGTTTATCCCGTCTAGTTTCATCCCAGACAAATAAGCACCATGGGAAAAAAGTTATTGGCGACAGATGTCTAAATTATTTTCAACCGAAGAGCAGCTAGTTCAACATGATGAATATTGCGTTTAGAGAAATAACTGTAGAATTTCATTTTCCTCAGAAAAGCATATACAATTCAAGAATTTCATTACCACACAAAAACTACCGTTTATCGTGTATGCTGATTTTGAGTCAATATTAAAACCATTCACTGACACACAAAATTTTTCAAAAACTCAAAAATATCAGAAACATGTTCCTTTCAGTGCAGCATATTATTTTAAGTGTAACTATGATGATACCTTATCTTTTTACAAATCATAAAGAGGTGAAGATTGCATGGTTTGGTTTGAAAATCAGTTTGACGAATTAGCTAAGTTTATTCAATCGAAAAATAAAAATATCATTGCAATCGTTGTGAATCCGTCTATGGGTAGAACTTGTTGCCATATCTGTGAAAATAGTTTCAAATCTACGGATAAAATCGTAGTTGATCATGATCATTATACCGGGGAACAGAGAGGCTTTGCTCATGAGCAGTGTAACCTCAATCTTAAAAAGAACTATTCCATACCGGTGGTGTTCCATAACCTTTCAGGGTATGATAGTCACTTTATAATACCCCATTTAGCGAAGCATAACAAAGTAACGTGTTTACCAGTTAACAAGGAAAAATATATAAGCTTTACTCAATTCCATGATGAAACTGATATAAAATTTTGGTTTATAGATTCGTTTCGATTTTTAGGGGCATCCTTAGATGAATTATCATCAACGCTTACTGCGGATAAATTTAAAAATTTAAAAAAAAATTATTAATTTTGATGATGATGATGATTCTTTGAAACTTGTTATGCGTAAGGGTGTATTTTGTTATGATTATATATATATTCGTATGGGAAATTGAAAGAAACTACTCTTCCTGATATTAAAGCATTTCACAATAAACTAAATGATTGTGATATTTCAGCTGATGATTATGCACATACGCAAAAAGTCTTCACTCATTTTAAACTTGATGATGATTCTTTGAAACTTGTTATGCGTAAGGGTGTATTTTGTTATGATTATATATATATTCGTATGGGAAATTGAAAGAAACTACTCTTCCTGATATTAAAGCATTTCACAATAAACTAAATGATTGTGATATTTCAGCTGATGATTATGCACATACGCAAAAAGTCTTCACTCATTTTAAACTTAAGGATGAATATTCTGATTTATATTTAAAGACTGATATAATGCTGTTAACTGATGTTTTTGAAAATTTTCGACATAAAGCTCATGATACATACGGATTAGACCCAGCTTGGTATTACACAATGCCAGGATATACATGGAATTGTATGTTAAAATATACTAAGTGTCAATTGAGTACCATTCAAAATGTCGACATACTTTTATTCTTAGAGAAGTGCATTCGTGGAGGTGTTAGTCAATGTGCCAATAGATATGCTGAAGCTAATAATAAATACCTTCAGAATTATGACCCAAAGAAAGCCTCATCTTATCTGCTTTATCTGGACGTCAATGCGTTGTACGCTAGTGACATACAGGAGTATCTACCCCATGACGGTTTTGAGTGGACATATGCTAATATTGACGTTACCTCCATTCCTGATGATTCGCCTGAAGGTTATATATTAGAGGTCGATTTGAAATATCCTCAACATCTCCATGATATGCATAAAGATCATCCCTTATGTCCTGAGTATCGTGTTCCACCAGGGTCGAAGCTATCAAAATTAATGACAACACTGTATGACAAAAACAAATACATTATACATTATCGTAATTTAAAGCAAGCTATAAAATTTGGACTTCAGCTAACTAAAATTCATCGCGTGTTGAAATTCAAACAAAGCGCTTGGCTTAAGTCTTATATTGAGTTGAACACTAAGTTGCGGACTGTTGCAACATCAAAGTTTGAGCAGAACTTGTACAAATTAATGACTAATGCCACGTTTAGAAAAACTTTGGAAAATTTGCGGAAACATCGTATAGTAAAGTTGGTTTCTAGCTGGGCGGGCCGTTATGGCGCAAAAAATTTAATGTCAAATCCTGCATTTCATAGTCGTGCAATTTTTGATGAAGATTTCATGGCTATTGAAATGAATAAAACTAATATTGTATTCAATAGACCCATATATGTTGGTGTAGCTATTTTAGAAATTTCCAAAACTTACATGTATGAGTTTCACTAGGGTTATATGCTACAAAAATTCAACAGTAATGATTGTAAGATTCTCTATACTGATACTGATTCGTATTGCTATCACATATATTGTGATGATGTTTATCAGGAAGTGATTAAAAAAGATATCGAAAAATTTGACACAAGTGACTATACTACGGAAAATATTTATGGAATACCGTTGGTGAATAAGAAAGTTCCTGGTTTGATGAAAGACGAAACAAAAGGCCATTTAATGACACATTTCGTTGGATTAAGATCGAAAATGTATTCGTACCTAATTGAAGGAACCACATGCATTAAAAAGTCAAAAGGTGTCAAATACAATGTAGTTAAAAATCAAATTTATTTTCAAGACTACGTCGACTGCTTGAACGAAAATAAAGAAAAAGTCGCCAATCAAAGTATCATCAGATCATTTGTACATAACGTTTACAGTGTAGAGCAAACTAAAATTGCATTGAACCCATTTGATGATAAGCGCTATTTGATTAATAATTCAACTGATACCCTACCATGGGGTCATTATTCTATAATTGAAACCTAAAGTTTTTTTGTTTTTCACAGGTGTTTCAACCAAAACGCTTATTTGACGCTGCTCTAGAATGTGTTGCCGCTGTCAATTGCATTACTGAGTTATTCACGGGTGAATATCATGAACGTATATGTGAGTCATCTTTAATATTGTTGAAAAAAAAATTCTACCTAAACAAGTCTATATAAAATATCTATTTAAAACTTTAGAATATACAGAAAATTGGGAATGCGTTTTTGATGATTTATTCCATTGTACTCCTGAGGATGTTTCTGATTGGACTTGGGCACTATTGACCCTCGAACATGCTATGTTGTTGAGAACTTATAAGGAAGATTATCAATTTTGGTGGGAATGGAATATAGTTGTACGTAATGAATACCGATTAGCAAATCTTAATCTACCACACGTAACTCAAAGTGAACATAAAAGTTATCTTTGTGAAGATTGTATTTGGAAAACTGTACCAGAACAATCAAATGAACCATATTTTATAACAATATATCAAACTTTCTCAAAAGTTGCTGGAGATTTAATGCTAGAATGTTTGCTTCGTCACCGATAACGATTTTCATATCTGAGCTTAACTTTTCCATCATTTCATTTAGTCATTAATATATACAAGCTGCTTCGGATTAATGTTGTTGTTGTTCATTTTTTCTACTGTATCACTAAAAGTTCTTTGGTTTTGATTCAAGATATTTATTTGTTTATCTAAATCGGCCTTGTTTATTTAAAATTTTATCGTGACTAATTTGCTTAAGTTCCTGTTCAGTAATGACACTTTTTAAAATATCAATTTGATCTTTTAGCGCTTTTGATGTCTCAATATTATTTTGGTTATCAATTTTACGTCTTTTGTTTTCTCCAATAAGCGCATTATCTACATAACGCTTACAAGATCCCATTTCTTCATCTACATATTTGATCACTTTGATACGCGCATTATCTACATAACTGTTACAAGATCTAATTTTTCCATCTACATATTGTTTGTTTACTATATCTTTCCCATTTATTGGCACTATAGAACTACAAAGTTTCAAATTTTCAAACCTTACTTCTTCTTCTGCATTTACTTCGAAAGGTAACTGTGGTTGTTGTCGACGTTGTATGGAATGATGTGCACCACCACCACCACCACCACCAACATACTGGCCAAACTTGTTGATGCTCATCGTGATACTGTCATCGGATATATCTATACACGCTCCTTTATAATACCAGCTTCTTTCAGTTCATTTATAATGGCAACAATTTCATTATTATGCGATGTATTACCAGCGCTTTGCGAAGCAATTAATAATTTTAATCTATCTACAAGTTCATTAACATCATCCCAATATACATACTCTATGGGTTTGTCGTTATAAGTCAAATACATTCCTTGTCCGGTATGCTGTGACGACGACAACGACGACGACGACCGAGCTTTTTGAGACCCTATTGTTGTGCA